GAAAACGAAACACACTTTTGCTTTTTACTTAATCAAGAGATTAAATTATTTCCTAGAAAGAAACATTCACCAGATCTGTTTTTTCTATCTCCAAGATTACCTTTCCAGTTAGCATCACAAAATCCAACCAAAAATGAGTTTGTATCAAAGGATTACAAATGACCATAACCAGATGTTTCACTTATGTATTTAATATGTATGACCTGAGGTAATATGGTTAATTTTAGGATTGACTTGATAGCAAGAAAAATCATCTACACAAAAAGTAATGCCAGGATGACTTGCAGTGAGATGCAAGATGCTACCAATCATACTCCTATAAAGAATTTGGTCAACAAATACTCCTTATTCATCTTTTCATAACTTGACATGATTTACAACATATGTACGCTTGTGTCATGCATTCTCTAAGCCAAATTTCTTCACAATATTCTTAGAATATCTACTTTAGGAAATAAGGATATCATTTCCATTTGTTTTAATTGGAAGCCAAGAAGATAGGTAAACTCCCAAACCATACTCATCTCAAACGTAGCCTGTAATTGTTGAACAAAATGATTTGCTATCTTGCTTGACATCCTTCCAAACACAATATCGTCAACATATATCTAAGATATCATAAGATTCCTATTTTCCTTATTCACAAAAAAGTTTTATCGATTCCTCTATGGAAATAACCGTTCATAGTAAGAAATTATGTGAGTATCTCATACCAAGCCCGTAGAGCTTGTTTGAGACCAAGAACACCCTTATGAGTTTATAGACATGATTGGGAAGGCATGGATCAATAAATCCCTTTAACTACTTAGTGTAGACTTCCTCATTCGAGTATCCATTGAGGAAGGCAATTTTCACATTCATGTGATAAATATTAAATCTGGGGATACAAGACAAGCCAAGTAATAGTTTGATAGTTTCAAGACGAGCAATTGAAGTAAATGTTTCATCAAAGTTAACCCCTTAAATTTGAGTGTATCCTTGGGCCATGAGATTTATTTATAGTAACTTACACATTTTCATTAGTATTTTTCTTGTAGATCCATTTGTGCCAATGATACTTGCAAAATTTCTCTCAAACTGAACAAGCTCTTTTGATTTTTTTCTTCATGTGATGATTCCTTCTTCTAGATTTCCTATAAATTTTTCAATAGAATGATTCTTATTGATCCTCGATGATGGTTCTTTTCTTTCAGAAGCAATATTCTCATCATTATAATCTCAATCACCATCTTTCTCAATTGTCTTCCTTAACTATCTATAAGTTGTTCTTCATATTGCTTAGAACATCTTGCTCATCATTCTAACCACTGAGATCAGGATATTTGTCTTTATTGTGGATCATTTCGCTTAGATCGTCAAATGAGAATGGACCACCTTAAATCTACTAACACTAAAAGATTCAAAAAGATTAATGTACATACACAAGAAAACATAATTTTCTTATGCATAAATGCTTTGTAATTTCAAGGGAATATCGTCACATCATAAGAAGCTTTCCAAACCATTTATCCCAAGATTTCATATCTAGGGAAAGATATGGTTATAATCTAGGGAAAGTCACCTTTTTGTTTCATTGCCCATTTAGTTTTGCATGTTCTTTTTCCAAGGAATGCTAGCCATGATGACGTTTTTGAGGAACGACATTGTGATCACTTGGTTGATTTTCTTTTCCTATTTTTTGCATGCTCTCTATTTATTTTTTTGTGAAAATAAATTCTTTATTGATAAATTATTGACTACCCCTATAAATTTAAGAGTAATTTATCTCTTATGACGAGTATTAATTAAAATTTATTATATAAAATAAAATTTTAAAATCACATATTAATCTAATATCTTAAAGAATTAAAATGAAATAAAAAAATATATAATTTTATTTTTTAGTAATAAGATGTTGGTATGTCAAATGTGAGTAATGATTCTCACGTTAGATAGAAAAGATGATATTAAATCTTTTTAAATGAGAAAAAATATAAACTCAATATTTTAAAGTTTTGAGTTACATGTGATTTTTAAAGTTAATTTTATGTAGTAAAATTTCATTGATATATATCATTAAGGATATATTATTCCAATTTTACAAGGGATAGCATAAATCTCACCTCCTTTATTTTATAGTATTCATTTTTAAGATTTTGAGTTAATATATAATTTTTAAAATTAATTTTATGTAGTAAAATTTCATTAATATATATCATTAGAGATAAATTACTTCAATTTTAAAAGGGATAGCATAAGTGTCACCTCCTTTATTTTATAGTTATTCATTTTCAATTGTTTATATGTGCTACATGAGTTCTATGTGTTGTTTACTACATCTTTTTAATAATATCAAAGGGAGAGAAATATCCTTAAAGGAAAATAGATTATACTCTCTTTATCTCTTATCTGTGAGAGAAAATTTACCACTCCAAATTTTTTATCTATGTCTTATGTTTTACCACCTTCCTAAAAAATTATTTTCATCATTAAAAAAAAAGAGAATATGATTCTAGGCGATGTGTAGGTAATATCATTAAAAAATGGTTTTGATAATAACAATTACCAAAGCGTGATGATGACAACTATCAAGAATTGATCACAACTGTCATGGTCAGTAATTTATTATAGATTAGTTGGGGTTTTAAATTTTTATTTCTAACTAATTGAGTGATCATGCTCACCAGTTTAGCTTAATTAAAAATCTTTCATATTAAATGTTGTATTTCATTATTAAACTTGATTAAAAAACTGTGTAATAAACATAACTTTAGCAAAACTAACACTTTTTAGAACAAACTTAATGCATAAATAGCAAGTTCACATATTTTATCTAGCAAATTAGGAACAGAAGAGTAGCATTGGTATCATTACAAACTGAAGTTGGTATTTTAGAAGGAGTGAACGAGATCAAAGGGGACAGTGAATGATTTCTTTTCCAATAAATTCAAACGGGTAAGTACACCATGATCTAGATTGGTTAATTTACAATTCATAAAACTGTTTACTGAGGATAGAGTAGAGTTGGAGGATTTATTCTCAAGAGAGGAAATTAAAGACTTAATTTTAAGTTGCGGAGAAGATAGAAGCTCGGGACCAGATCGGTTTAATTTGCTATTCATCAAGAGTTAATGGTAGCCCGTCAGAGGAGTTCAAGTGTTGAGGGGATCGAGACTTTGTCCCCTTATTTGTTCATAATTGTTAGGGGTATTTTCGGTTCAGTTTGAATTGGTTTTAAGGAAAAAATTCATCTTATCTAAAGATAAATTTAATTACGGTTCGATTCAGTTTTTGGTGATGTATTAAAAAAATCTAATTCGATCCGATTCAATTTTATGCAGTTTAATTTAGATAGATTTTTGGAGATCCAAATTATACATTATAATTTATTAATATTATAAAACTACTAATAAATCATAGATTTGATATAATATATAACATATAATATATTAAAAGTTAATATTATAAAATGAGAGTGGTCGATTATGGTTGAAATAATAAAAATAAATAGATTATCTCAAGCTAATAAATCTTATTAAAAAAATTATTATCATCTCATAATAAATTTACGTAACATATCGTACTAATAAAAAATAAATGAGTATAAAAATATATGTATGCAGTTTGATTTGGATCAGTTTTGAAAAATTAATTCAAAATTTGATCCGACCCGATCAATTTTCACAAAATAACATTCAAACACATCTAATAAATTCTCATAACATATCGTACTAATAAAAAGTAATATATATATATATATATATATATATATATATATATATATATATATATATATATATATATATATATATATATATATATATATATATATATATATATATATATATATATATATATATATATATATATATATACGGTTCGGTTTGGATCGATTTTGAAAAATTAATTTGAAATTTGATCCGAACCGGTCGATTTTCACAAAATAACATTCAAACACATCCAATAAATTTTGATTTTTTGCGGTTTTCAATTTTTTTGATCGATTTTCGATTTTTTATTTGAATTGGTTTGGATTTAAACATCTCTAATAATTATGGCGGAAGGGTTGGCAGGTATGGTTAGAAACACGGTGGAAGTTGGGATGTTCAAACAATTTAAAGTAGCAAGGATGCCAGGTGTGATCTTCTTCAATTCACGGATAATATGATAATAGTAAGTGAGGGATCATGGGCTAATTTGTGGGCGTTAAAGTCTATATTTCGCGGATTTGAAATGGTATAAGGGCTTAGAGTTAGTATGAGTAAAAGTAAGTTGTATGATATAGGGTTGGACAATCATTTTTTGTAGGCAGCATCACAATTCTTAGATTGTAAAATAGATAGTATTCCATTTAAATTTCTAGGTGTTACGGTTAGGGGAAATCCAAAGCGGATAGCATTTTGGAATCCAATCATTGCAACTTTTAAATCGAAGTTATCAATATGGAAAGACATATTGCTATCAATAAGTGGAAGAGTGGCCTTGATTAATTCCATTTTAACTAATTTGCCCATTTATTCTATGTATCTGTTCAAAATGTCGGTGTAGGTGGCTCACGAGATCACGTGTATTCAACGTAACTTTTTATGGCAAAGTTCAAGTGAGAAAAATGGAATACCTTGAATAAGTTGGAAGGCGATATGTAAACCAAAGCATGCAGGTGGTCTTGACATCAAGGATATATCAATATTCAATAAAGCATTGCTCTGTAAATGGGTGTGGAGATATTTGAAAGAAGTTGACACTATTTAGGTGGAGGTGCTACAATCAAGATATGGAAATTTGAGTAGATGCTGGTGGAAATCCAACGAACGAGGTGATTTTTTATTTTTGAGGAGTTTTCAACCGTTGGAACAAGGTGGGGATGTAGTCATCTGGCCGTATAATGCAGAAAATAGATTTTCGGTTCAATCTTATTATAAGCAATTTTTACAGCATAATCAGGCATAACAAATTAATCAGCAGCTGGAGCTAGCGCTCTCTTTGGTATGGTTGACTAACATCTCTTCTAAAGTAAAAAAATGTTTGGGTGGCGTGCGTCGCATGATAGATTGCCAACGAGAAGTCAATTATCACGGAGGGGGATTATTCATAATCAACTTGAGAGGGTATGTGTGTTCTGCTTTAGATATGAAGAAGAGATGGATCATGTGTTGATTAATTGTATAACTACTAGACTGGTGTGGGAGAAGGTTAAAATATGGTTAGATGTGGCTCATGATTGTGGGGAGGATGTCTGCTCAAGTTTTCTGAACTCAGCGCTATCCTTGATATGGAAAGTCTCGGAAAAAAGAGGGCAGGAATCGTTCGGATGGCAGTCTCGTGGTATTTATGAAATTCAAGGAATGAAATAATGTTTAGAGGTGGGATAGGCGATGTAGATGAGATACTTTTCAAAATTAAGATGTATTTTTGGTGGTGGTTTGTTATTGAGTCAAAACTTATAATAAATTATAATTTTTATGAATGGTATACTTGTCTGCTCGATTATCTTAAGTAGGGAGCTTTTGTAAGCGATTTCAAATGAGTTTCATTTGTTTGTATTAGGTTAGAATACCCCCTAACACTCTGGTTTGAATACAAGTTTATAAGAAAAAATCAACTAAAAAATAAAACAATAAAAAAAACAACATTTTTAGCAATAGAAAGATGTAGCATGTCAAACTTCATTTCATATGATAGTGGGTATAAACACCAAAACTGTTATATATAATGACAAAAAAATATCTTAAAATTAATATATAAATCATGGTTAAGCATTATAGAAGTATAGGCGTAATCCAAAATCTCAATCTAAGAATTTTGTTAGAAATTGTTGTGCTACTATGCACTTGTATTCCAGGGTCGTCAACTTATTATGACCGTTTCAATAGAAAGGGGATGGAAATTAAGGAAAAAATATAGGGCTTTATTTTAAATTTTATAATTATATATATATATATATATATATATATATATATATATATATATATATATATATATATATATATATATATATATATATATATATATATATATATATATATATATATATATATATATATATATATATATATATATATATATATATATATATATATATATGATAGAAGACATAAAACATAATAGAAATGTAAATGATTGTTTTTTTCTTAATATCTCTTATCTTAATTTAACATTCTTCTTTAGTTATAATTTTATAAGTTTGTCTCTTAACTTCACTTTTGTTATTTTATTTAGTCTCTTCCATCAATTTCTAGTAAAAAACATTAAATTCTGGTGTCGTATATATACATTAAGGCTCAAGGTGTAAATGTGACTCAGCATATCTATTATAAATTAGAGTTTTTCACTTATTGTAGGTTTATTGTGACCCTTTATGACACCTACTTAAGTAGAAACTCTATTTTATAATACAAATATTTAATCACATTTGAACTTTAAGATCTGTTGTATATCCACGTCACCAAAATTTAACGTTTTTTTATTAGAAATTGTCAGATGGAACCCAAAAAGATAATCAAAGTAAAGTTAAGTATTGAAGTATGTCTTAAAATTTTTGTTGATGGAGAGAAAGAAAATATGTTTCGAAATTTCCAAAAATCATAAATCTGAAAAACAACTAGAATGTTTGATTTAGGCGGTTACAAGATTTTGGGTTTGACCAATTCACGCTATTTAATGTTAGAGTATTGAATATATATATATATATATATATATATATATATATATATATATATATATATATATATATATATATATATATATAAGATATTTATAATATTTTATTCTAATAATTAATGAGTTGTGTTTTGGAGTTTGGATTTTAGCTATTATAAATTATTATTTTTGTGTTTAAAGGGGGTGAATCTTAAAGTTTACAGAACAAAGGGAAAACAAGAGTTTGAGGTTTTCTCAAGGAAAACCTTAGAAAGACAAAGATTTAGGAAAATCTTTGGAGTTGTTTAAGTTTATTGAGAAATACGGGTTATACCTTGGATTTGAGTTATTCATATACTGAGAGTTGAAGAGGTTGGAAAACACACTACAAAAAGTACCTTTCGTAATGCCACCGAATTTTATTTCACCACGGCCAAAGTACTCACCGTGGTAGAATATATTCAATTAAGCGCTTTCATTTTTTATATTTTATTAAAAGACATACAATAACGATTTGTTTAATACAACTGTTGTTGTATGTAGCGTATGATAATGAGTTCGAATCTTCTTGTTGTTGTTCTGCTGCTGCATTTTTATATTTTATTAAAAGACATACAACAACAATTATTTAATACAATCATTGTTGTATGTAGTGCATGGTCATGAGTTTGAATCTTGTCGTTGTTGTTCTATTGCTACATTTTTTATATTTTATTAAAAGACATAGAACAACAATTATTGTTGTTGTATGTAATATGCTATTGAGTTCATTGAGTTTCTTATAAACGAGTTTATTGAGTTTCTCCACCGTCCTTAAACAAATCTTTGTCGCCTATTTAGTGATTATCAATGCTCAAGACATTATCATTAGTGATTCGCGTGAAACCTAAAACTTAGACGAACTTCATCTTTTTCTCGTCTTATTCTGTTATATTATTTATGTATTGACTATTATTATTATAGGCTATTTATTTTGGTTGCTCCTGTTCTTTGCCTCACAATTTAAAATTGAACCTTATCATTATTCACAACATCAAGAAACTAACTTGTAACATTTTGTAGTTAAAAAATAAAGGGGAACATTAAATTAAGTTAAGAGACTTGAGGACTAAATATATCTTTTTTTTATAAAAATATCTTAATTTTCTTGAGAGAAGAAATATCAAAAGTTTTGTACCAAAAATATATATCAAATTGGATTAAAATATTATATGAGAATGTGAGAAAGAATAATAACTATAAGATTTAAAATGAAAGATTGAGATTAAACTGTGATTTTCACTTAATCATGTGCCAAAAATCTAAAAATTCAGACACTTTTAAGAGGAAAAAGAAATCACTAATCAAATTTTAAATATATCTTTTAATCCCAACCATTAATTTAAATCCAATGGTTGTTATTATATTCTCACATTCTCATATAACTTAGTCATTCTCATTTGATATATATATATATATATATATATATATATATATATATATATATATATATATATATATATATATATATATAATGTTTTTTATGACGAAACTTACACATCGAACAATAAAAAAACGAAAGTATAGATCCTCGGAGTGCCATATTTTTTATAAATAAACAACAGCTATAAGGAACATAGCTATAAGGAACAAGGTCGGCTCAAAGAATTGCGATCTAATATTTTAAGTAGGTCTCTTATAAAATAAAGTGTTAAATATGTTTTTGGTTCCTATGAATATCTCAAATTTTATTTTTAGTCCCTATTAAAAAAATGACATATTTTAGTTTCTACAAAAAATTTATTCACGCAGTTTTAGTCCCTATTATTTTTTAAAATTTTGAAAACTGTTTAATTACCCTTAAATTTTTAAATTTTTGAACATTTTTTTCATAAGTGTTTATAATACTATAAAATATTTATTTACTAAATTTTAGAATTTTTTAAAATGAGAAGAATTAAATATGAATTTTTTTAATTTTGAAAGATATTAATAAAAGTAATGAAAATCTCGACTTATAAATCAAATTTTTTGAATTTTTTTTAGGAACATTTTTATAACGTTTCAAACATATTTGTAAAATAATCATTAAAAAATACACATCAATTTAACAACAAGGACTAAAACTACGTGCATAATAATTTTGTATAGACTAAAATATATCATTTTTTTTGTAGGGAACAAAAACAAAATTTGATAATTTATAGTGACAAAAACCTTTTTAACCCTAAAATAAAATATAAAATATATAGAGATTTTATTAGTAGTTGATATATTAATATGAAATAAATTAAATTTGTGAGAAAATTATAAATTTTTTAAATATTATATGAAATTAGATTAAATTAAATTATTCAAAAGAAATTTAAATGTAATGATTATTTTATTGTAATGATTAAATTAACATTAATGATATATTTATTAAAACATATTATTATATAATAAAATATAACAAAAGAATTTTCCATAATAATATATACTTTTATCAAAAACAAAAGAAAACAATAATAGAACAGAGTGTATATTTTCATTTGAAAAGATGGTCAAATAAGAGAAGTTAAAAGGCTTTTGCTTTTAAATCAAGTAGATAAATATGTACATTAAGAAATAAACTAATTTGAACGGTCAATTTTTTCGCTTTAAAACATAACACTCAACTGCTACCATATTTTGCATGGATCAAATTGTATTTCCCACCAAATAAATTTATAATGTATTAATTATAACATATTTTTTTATTTGGAGGCTCTATAAAGTTGAGGCTCTGTGCTGTGATTTCAGTTGCATAGACACCGAGTCGGGCCTGATAAAGAAGTTCATTTCGACACATAATTGTTACATTTTATGTTTTTCTTTTTTTTAATTAATATTTTTTATTTGGTGTCTTTTCAAATTTCATTTTTATTTTTGTTAATTTTTTTCTTAATTTTTATCTCAATTATATGGTCCAACTTAGAGGTAATATATTTTGGATTAATAATTTTAAAATATTATTTTTTAAATCTTATTTTAATTTAATTTTGATATATTCAAACCCCTTAATTTTTGTCAAAAACCGACATAATATATCTTTTAAACAATTATCAAAATATGGTTATTGTATTTTTTACATTTTATATTTTCAATTAATATCGTCATATTGATTTTTATGTAAAACTGATGTGACACTTATTTTGTTCAAACGTATCAACGCTCAAAACGTTATTTCATCACTCTCATTTTGTAAAAAAATCCTAGACGGTTTTCAAGCAGATATTCATCCAAACTCTTCCAACAGATATTCATCAAACGTCATTTCGTCAACATATATTTATTTATGTAACATATATGTGTTAGGAAGAGATCTGGGTATGAATGATGTAAAGCAATTTATGATAAAGAACTGGCAATTTGTGAAACTTCTTAACCTATACTATAATGAAGAGGGGTATTTTTGTTAAATTGTAATTTATATGTGTCAAAGAAGATTTGATTTGTTTTAGATTTAAATAGATTTGATTTAAGTCTAGAATAGATTTGATTAGATTTGATTTAGTAACAAAAAGATATTTTAGGCTTTGGGCTTAGGGTGTAAGCTCAATTATAAATAGAGGGAGTAACCCCTATTTTGATAGCAAGTCAAGAAAGTCATTCACAGTATTTTGCAGGTGCAAAGTGAATAAGAAAGTTTTCCACAGTTTGTGGGCAGAGAGAAACTCTGCAGAAATAATTGTCTTGTCTTCTTTTATTTGTTTTT